TTGGCCATCCAAGAGTGGTCCATGGTCAGGCGAGGGTTCATCAACGAGCTGGCGGGCACCCTACTCGTGTTCCTCACCGGCTTCTTCTGGGGCCTGGGCACCTCAGTCTTCCCCGGTTTATGGGAAACCGACGAGCAGGAGGTGCGCACCATCATCACCACAGGCGATACTAGATACTTCGTTCTTCGCTCTTTGCTCTTCGCGCTTCGCTCTTCGCTCTTCGCTCTTTGCCCATGTGTGGTTGTGCTAATCTGGTTGCGTTTGCCGCTCGGCGGGGATGCAGAGCCGAGGCACCTATTGGGCGAGCGTGGCAGGCATAGGCATTGCCATACCGTCCGGTGTGGCTGTGGCCGTTGCCATCGCAGGTAATGTTTACACTCTTCGTTCCAGATCCCACACACACACCCAAGCTTGTGTGTAACGTAAGAGTTACGCTTTGCAGGGGGTGGGGCCTCTTCGCCGATCGTGGGCGTGGCCATCAGCGCCTCGCTGCTGCCGCCCATCGCAAACGCCGGGATGCACTTCGCGCAGGCCCTCATGCAACGCCTGACCGACGAAACCGCCACGGATGACTGGGAAACGAGTTGCAGGGTAACGCCGAACACACAACACATACAACACACACGACACACACGACACACAGTAACCAACCTGAACACATTCTTCTTCTTTTTGTTGTTCAGATCGGCGGCTATTCCTTGCTCCTGTTCGGCACCAACTTTGTGTGCATCGTCTTCTCGGCGCTGCTGCTGTTCCGAGTGAAGGGCGTGAAGCGCAGGCGGGTCGACGTGTCGGCCCTGGTCAAGCAGGCCGAAGAGAAGCCGCGAACCGAAGACGACCTGAACTTGTCGACCGACAACAGGAGCACCTTCGAAGGGGGTGATGACCGCGACTGTTTAGAGGAGGAGCATGGCCACCTGGCCGTGGAGGGTCCAGGCGCCACGTCCTCGGGCGACATGGAGACCACCACCCTCACAATCAACCCATTCGATGATGACGATGATGAGTACCATAAACAGAGTTAAAAATTACAGGTAATATGAAAACAGAATTATAGGATAGAGGGGAGAGTTTAGGCGCGACTCAAAAAAATGTCTGGAATATAAGACACATTATTTTCCAAGCCAATCCGAAGAAATCGGGGCGAAACTTCGCTCTGCCGTGTTGAAGGCTCGCGAGCTGCGACAGACCAAAGCGCCAACAAAGGCGTGGCGGTGAGGTGAGGTGGAGAGAAGAAAGATGAACAAGAGTGTCGCGGGCAAGCGCAAGAGGTCCACAAGCGACCCTGCACAACAACAACTGACACAACCCCCAACCGCCAACAACAACGAGACCGCCCTACCTCCGACAAAGTTGCCACGACAGACGTCCTACGCGCAAGCCAACCTCCTCTCCTTCTTCAGCAGGCCGCCCCCCAAGCAGCCCAAGGAAGAGGACAAGGGCCGGGCTCGACTCGAGATCGGCTACGCCCAGGCCGAAGAAGAGCCCACGACGAACGAGAAGGAGAAGGTTGAAGAAGAAGAGGAGGAAGAAGAAGAGATGAAGAAAGGAGGTCGTGTGGCCCAGCAGCTGCTGTGGAAGGGTGCGAGTAGTAGTAGCGCGGGCCGGACCTGCGGCGGACGGCCCGGACCCGAGGGCTGGCAGGAGGTGTGGGATCGGATCGTGCGATATCGAGCAGAGCACAAGGTCCCCCTCCTTCCATGATGAAGAGCGACTGGGGTGGGCTTTGAGTGAGCAGCTGCCTACCTCACTCCAACCGTTCGGTCAACTGTGAAGGCGCCGGTGGACACCATGGGCTGCGGGTCGATGGCCAATCGCACCGCCCGGCCCCAAGTCCAGCGCTTCCAGACCTTAGTGGGCCTCATGCTGTCCAGGTCTTCTTCCTTTCGCCTGGTCTTCTCCGCTAAACCAACCAACCAACCAACC